ACTTTGCTGGTGTAATATGGTTACCGATAATGTATGCGCGATTAATTCCATGAGTGTTCCTTATCTGCATAAACGTTTAAACTTACCTTAAACCAAGATTACTTTAAAGATCTAAAACATCGCCTGATGTTTCTTGGTGCCTTCGAAATTTGCAAGCCTGAGGCCATTTTGTATTAACTTAACTGAATTTTCTATCTTTTGTTCTGTTTCCATTGCCATGTTAGAGTTACAGAAAATTTTCCGTGTTCCCCGCCCGAGATTAATTGTTAAAATCACTTCGAATCAATTTACAATTTAATCACTTTCGTACGATTTCTACCGTCAAAATGAAAAAGGGAAACCATAATGGCAAAGGGAAACCACTGCCCGTTTAGCCATGAAATGAAATTGACGAAAGAAAACGTGCAAAACGATCACAGGAGAAAAGACGCCACGGTGCGGCAAGTACGTTCTATAATACGCGATAAGAGACCTCGCACGGTTAATTAGCGCCAACTTTATTACGGCGGAGCCGTTTGTTCGGAGCAAATACACGAGCGCGAATTGGAGGGAGGAGGACTGCCAACGCCATTTGAATTTCGCTTTGACGACGATACACACGCGCTGGGTGTATATTTAATAGAGTCTTAATTGGAGTCACCGGCTCGAGAACTTTAATTGGACATCGCGTGCGACGAGAGAGCGAGAGAGAGAGAGAGAGAGAGAGAGAGAGAGAGAGAGAGAGAGAGAGTATAGAACATACCGTTTCTGTGGTTTTTGCATGCTCTCTCTCTCTCTCTCCCTTCCCCCTGTCTCTCTCGTTTTCTCTTCCCCTTTCTCTCTTTATACCTCTCTTTCATCTCGCTCTTTTATCTACTGATCGAAAAGCAGATTGCACCTCAAAACTTGGTTCTGTTTTACATAATTAAACAACAATTCAATAACTTTCAAATGTTTGTTTTAATGTGATGCCATGCCCCTCTAATCCGTGAAATAATACTAGAGTGATATCCAGATCTATCTGGTTTCTCCTTCCTGATTTTTGCATTGTATGTTCTATTGTTTTAAGATATTAGGATTTTTAAATTAGAAAATATTGCATAAAATCCCTCATTATCTTCGGATAATTAAAAAAAGAATAACATATGTTTTACTCCGGTTAATTATATATTCGAGAGAACATTATCAGGCATTATCGCCATATTTTGTTTGAAAAATTTCCAATTTTAATTATTAATTAATTTTCCATATAAACAGCTTCTCTATTCGCGAGTTTTCATTTTAATTACGAAAGTATGTACCATATAGTAAAAAAAATATGTACAATTATATTTTATAATATAAATTATTCTTAATCTTGTTTCTATTTCAATGTCAAATTAAAATTATTCACAGATAAATGCCAAGTGACTTTGCATTGTATCGTCAAAATTATACATGACTCGACGCTATTTTCCTTCAACATTTACATGTCGTGAACGTATGATAGAGCGTGTCATTAATCGACATCTGTTGATGAACTCCTGTAATGGAGAGTCTGGGATAAAATTCGCTTTTAAAATTGCCGAATCATGTCGCAGTGGCATTCTTCTTTTTATCCTGCGTTAACGAGAATGCTGACGTTGAAGTGTAAGGCACGCATTACACACCATACAGTAAAAAGTTTTCGACACGTTGACGTATGCATCAGTCGATACGGCGTTTTGCTGTCACGCCGGGAATTTGCGCATTAATTATTTTTAGCGATCGAGGAATTCGTCCTCAAAGAAAAAAGTATGGATGAAATGCGGAATCTGTTAATTACAAAAATTATACTTTTTACTTGTCTCACTTTTTAAAAGTACTTGCATATTATAATTGTTTACTGCACAAGTACAAGATTTACCGCGCGCGCTGTAAAGATATATATATTAAAGTAAAGAAAATACTCTCTGCGTTTTCGCTCTCGGCATTTTCGAGGATTTGTCAGTGAACTTTCATCGCCGGACGCGTGTAGCAAAATGCAGTTGTGACACTTGCAACAGCGCGCCTCGAGGCTATATTTTTTTGTTTGCACAAGCGACAACGACGACAACGACGATGACGGTGCCGGCGACACCGACGACGACGTTGACGTCGAGGGGCGTAAGTCGGGATGTAAATGGCGTAAAAACTTTTCGACGTGCATATGCACGAGACGACGGTATGCACCGAACGAGGATATGAACAAGGGTGTGGTGGCGGTGGCGTTGTGCAGGAATATGGCAACTGAAATTGCACAGTGCTATAGAGAGAATAGGAAGCAGGAAAGAGACAAAGAGAGGGAGAGAGAGAGAGAGAGAGAGAGAGAGAGAGAGAGAGAGCGCGCACCGTGAGAGAGAAGAGGACGTTGAATTGGAGAGGGTATGTGCACTAAAGAGGATGAGAGGGAGCGACAAAGAGAGAGAGAGAGAGAGGGAGGGGGTTGCAAGATCGAGCGAGACACGGTTGCGAGAGCGAGAGTGAGATAGAGGTACTGCGACGATCAATACACCATCAGCTTAAATTACAATAATAACGTCGACCAGACAAAGCGCTATTATAAAATAGTGAGGCTGTAAAAGGCCGCGGCGTCGCGCTGTCCAAAACTGGCCCAGGGACAAACACCCTTATCTCAGAAAAGGAAACGAAGGAGGGAGGGAAATGCTTAATCGTTGTTAAAAGGAGGAGAAATAAAACGCTCGTTATTCGACGAGCTATACCACTTATCAACCCTCTCCGTGTTCTCACGAGGATGTCGAGAAATTGGACGCTTGTTTCGTCGTCGTCGTCATTACCGCTCTTAGTCCGGGACGACGGTAAATTTAACCCCCTCGCGGCCGGACAGAATTGCCCGCGATGTTTTCATCGACGTAACAGAGCTTGGTTTATTGATTCTATTAGCCGCGATAAAATTCCGCGCCCCGAAATTTACACGCGGATTTCACTGAATACGACGCGCGCATGCTGTTACTACGTGAAATGGATTTACATTCATTCCCGAAATGTCTCCCTTTCTCTGCACTTTCGAGAGAGTGCGCTGGATTTCGGAATATCGCCTTTGTCTATTAAACTACTCTCTCACAATCGTCGTGAATGACATTGCCGAAGAGAGAGAAGTGAACGATAAATTTGACTTAATGGTATTTTAATTTTTTAACTTTTTGTCGATGCTAAAATTACAAACGATTTTAACCGAAATAAACTTTACGAAATAAATAAATGCTTAAAACAAAAATCTGACTGAAAGACCATTAAAAATATATCTAAAGCATAAAAATAGTATTACAATGGTAAAATTACAGCAAAAAAAGAATATCGAATTTGAAACTTTCAGTGTAGTTTCTCCCTGGGAAAAGTGCGGGACGATGTTTCGCGATTTTTACGTTATGTACATTAAAAAGTTAACGCGGGATCTCTGTCGGCTCAGCCAACTCCACGGGGATTTCTTTCTTAACGACTTCTCGGGGAGATATATATATCGTAAAATATCCCATGGAAAATCGTCTGGACCGAAATCAGCGAGAGAAACATGTTTTTAAAACTTTAAATTTCTAATCCCATTCTTTCCTAAGATACTGAATATCAGTAAATACAACACTCGAGCATGTTTGTTGACTAATAATTTATTAATTCCCATGCAACAATGCATGAGCCTATAATAATTTGCATATGTTGAATTTCGTTAGGTAAATACATGCGCCGGTTAACATACATTAATAATGTACACGGCCGATAATCGGATATTTCTGAAATTTTGCTGTATTATTAATGTGACCGCATACATACGTCTGAATTGGTTTATCACGCGTGCGTATGTCATCCATTTAAATATATTTGAATATCACAAAAAAGCGTGCTCTCCTCCACTTTACGTTACGAAAGCTTCGCAATCACGAGCAGGTGCACGATTGATATTACCGTAATTCGATTTATTATACCGTGAACGTGAAAATCGTCAATTCGAATTAATTTACAAATTCGTAAATTAAGATAAGGTTTTCAGCATGATATCACACAATCTCACACTGCTGAAATATTCTCACTATTATAATAGACAACAATGGAAAGTCCTAATTACACAGAAAATTAGTTTCGAGCACTGCTGAAGCTCGTCGGTTTTGCTTATCATCGTAATAATTTAGCAGGTTATTACAGAGTAATAAGAGAATTAAGTCGAAAGCATACATAAGCTGAAGGCTTTTCGGAGGAAAAAGTATATGTATTTAGTGTACCTACATGATATAATTCGAGGCAAGCTCGAATTTATAGGCTATGGCATACAAAAAACCTAGACAGTAAGACATAAGCAGTAACCAAATCAACATTTTGGATTTGCTACTGCGTATTGTGTTATATTCTCTACTGTGATTGATCGATTCACTTACTATTTACGTCTATAGTCTCTCAAACAATGAAAAGCACAGGTAGAATAAGGAAAATAAGGAATAAGAGATTTCACCTATTAGAAACCATGTATAATAGAATGTACGATTTCTGATAAGTTGAAATCTATTAAGTTTTCTGTTTTTCTCCCAGATAGCACATTATATTCTGGGAATATTTTGAGAATATAATAAAAGGGTCACGTCTGATATTCGTATGATATTCCTATGTCCGTAGCAACATTATTCGCAGTATATCCTCAGAATATCGAGTTAAATTTCGAAAATTTTCCTTAAGAATGTGTAAGAAATATCTATTAAAAATAATATTCTGTTATTTTTAATAGATATTTCTTACACATTCTTAAGGAAAATTTTCGAAATTTAACTCGATATTCTGAGGATATACTGTGAACAATGTTGCTGCGGACATAGGAATATCATACGAATATCAGACGTGACTCTTTTATTATATTCTCAAAATATTCTCAGAATATAATGTGCTATCTGAGCTATTATCTGTGCGTTTCATTATATTTAAGGCTGTATTTACTGCCTAACATTTTTCTGTGTGTTATAAGCTTATTGCATTATAAAAATGAAACTTTTCTAACTCTGAATTCCTTTCTTCTGTTCCAGAACATCGCAACTCGTCGCCGCCGCGATTCAACGAGCGGGTGAATCCCGGGCCGATCCGCACCGGTGAGACGATTGTATTATCGTGCATCTCGCAGGGTAATCCGCCACCGACGTACCTCTGGTTCCGCGAATCCGTATCGGGCACGACGATGGTCTTCAACTCGGAGAGGATACACGCGCGTGCCGGCGTTCTGGTGCTGCAACCGGCCCGGATCGAAGATGCCGGTAGATATGTCTGCCATGCAAACAATACCGCTGGTTCCGAGCGAGTTGAGCTGGAAGTCACCATCATAAGCAGCCTCTCTATCCATCTGGCGCCTCAACAGGTTCATTATTCGATCTTTTCTATCTCTTTTTCTTTCAATTGGAACGACGGCGCCTTCATGCGAACGACCCAATTCACATACCCGTGTGTCTTATCGTCTTTTTTCCATTTTATTTTCTCTTCCGACCATTTCTACCGATGATAGAAATAGCGACGATCGCTCGGCACAGCTTTTATCTAAATATAAAGACTTGATATAACGTAATTGGCAATTAATTAATAAGTTCAATAAAAACAATTTAAGTTATTTTAAAATCAAAGACTATGAGTCACAACAAGATGGTGAGTGTTAGAAATTAACCTAATATTTAATAATTAAGTTATAATAAATACATTAAAACATAAACCAAACGTTTGAACCCTTATCGGGTCATCTTCAGTGTAGAATATTAAAAACAAACAAATTTACGATTGATCGTCGACATAACGTTAAAGCAGTTATTTAAAATATTCCTCTTCAAATTTTTTATGTACATACCTATCTCTGATATTTTTTCTCTTCTGCCTTCTTCGAATGTTGCGGACGGTAATGCAATCCATCAAAAATCACCCATTGCAATTTTATGATTAAAAGATATGCTCAATATTTAGATTGACATAATTATTGACTAAAAGTATTGTATAATCTAAAATCATCTCAAATATAAATTAGTTGTATCTTTTTAAGTGCCCAAAACTTCCAAATTGCAATAGGTTTACAATCCACGGAGATATTGATATAGAATAATTACATTAAGATTGTAATTTTTAGAAGATTCAACAAATAATTTAAGTTCTGATATTCCGGCTAGCAATTTAAATTCTTAATATTCCGATTAAAACTCTTAATAGAAAAAGCGTAGAAAATACGATTTTATGATATATTGCTTCGAACTATACGAGTATATGGAAAACTTAAACCCACAAATAAACTATACAAATTTCTTATTTTTCTTAGTTTTTTAATTTATTGAATTTTTCTTACACATATCTCTTCTAGTTTTATATAAATATTGTACATAAATACTTTACAAATCACTAAATAATTTGATTTATTTTATTAATATTTATATTTATATATTTTATATTTGATTATTTAGCATTTAGAGTACTAAAAATAATTTAATTTTTTTTTTCTTTCTTTCCGTTCAATTATATAAAAGTATTTCAAAAAATTATGTATATATTTCTTTGAAACAATAATGACATTAAAAGAAAAATTTATATCTTAAGTTTTAGCTTTATTGTATTATAAAATATTTAAAATATCGCGTAAAATTGAAAAATTGCAAAACATCGAGCAAGCTTAAAACGAATTTTGCGCAGAATGTAAATTGACAGAAAGAGATAGTAAAGCGAGGAAAAAGTTTTGGCACGACTTTTAATGCCTCGGGAAACACAAAGATTGGTTGATTTAACAGCGAAAATATTGCTTGGTTTGCTTTCATATGAACAGCAGAGTTTCTAATGTGCGAGATTTCACTCTGTTTCACTTTATACATAATTACGCAACAAAATACGAAGTGTAGTTTATATTAACAGGCATGCAAATTAATTCTAATCTCTTTCGAGGCGTGAAATGGTACGCAAACATTCGCAACAGAGCGACGTTTGAGCTTTGCTTTTCCAAATAATGTTCGAATCCAAGTTTCGATTGTTATTACGTGCACCTTTGTTCAGCGTAATCGCCATAGAATATAGCCAGCTATTTCGATTTGAGCAAAGTTAAACCCAAGTTCATCCCGTTACTCCGAACGAGGTAGTGAACTTTGGACAATCTCCGGATAATTGGGTCGAACATCAACGCTACATCACAGTTCCTCCATCCATCTTGAACCAATGTCGGTTTACATGCATTTCCTCTCTTCTAAGTTTCACAAACAAATGTAAACTTTCTTCTTCTTTCTCTTCTTTTTTGTACTACATTACACGGTTGCGTTTTGGATGCATCAAAGATCGTTTCATATCATCGTAACATCCACGTCAAGCATTTATGAGATCTGGTTTTGCAATAACTATTTATCACATCTTGACTGTTGCAATAATCTGAAATGGACTTCTATTCTGGAATGAATCATGCTAGACTGCGAAGCGGATAAGAGCGAAGAGAATTATCGTCATACATTTTCGAAGCTCATGAATAAAATCCATTTCATCCAGCTGAAGCCTTAAATCCAGCGAAGTAATTTCATCGATCTCTTCAGAATCGATGCAAAATCCGCTCGCTATCTCTTCCATTTAAGATCCTCATCGGGAGGTAAATAAATGACAATCATTATTCCAACTGTCATCGCGCGTGACAGTTTACGCTTGGCTTCCCATTGAGCGGATTAAGAATCTCGAGGCGACGTTTCTCGACGATATCGACGATAATCTTTTCCGTTCACGTAGTGAACTGCCTCCCCCCTCTCCGTTTTCCAGACTTTTCCGAACTAGCAGCTTTTCTTGAATCGCTTCGTCGCAAATGACTCGGGCGTTTCTATTGTCCGCTCTTTTCCCTCTTCGGCCTTCGATCCAGGCGACAATTGTCGCCAGTTTCCCCGAGAGGCGCGAGGGACACAGTCAGAATCTGCATTTTACTTATCGTCATTCGGCGAGATTTCGCAAATTTTACCTTTACTCGAGATTTCTACGCTCTTCCGTAACGTCGACGATGGCATTTACGGACTAAATCGATATTTATTTAGAAAATGCTGCAAGTCCATTGAATCGCATTATATAAGCATTTACCCTGCCACTTACTATCGTATTCCCTAAGAAAAACTTCAAAATCTGATCGGACAACCATTTAACAGAATGAGCTTATATCGTTTTTCCGTTAGTCCAAAAATCGTTTTTAGAATTATCGGTTAACGATTTGAATTTTTATAAAATAATTTCATTAAAAAGGAATATCTTCTTAAAGTAATTTTCTTAAAGAATATCTTTTTAAAATAGATCAAATAACTTAAGGAATAATTAATGCTCATAAATATTATACTGAAAAGATAATTTGAATTTCTCATTTCTTATTACTTTGATTCTTATTATAAATGAATAAATTGCATAAAATGTTTGCAAAATCTTTTTTGAACAATTTTTAATACAATACTCTATCAACAGTTTTTCTACATTTTTATAGATTATTTTTTATATCATAAACTTGTACATATAATGATAAGAGTATATACGTTTAACATAATCGCCTGCGAAATATGAAACGAATAAAACTTGTTTTTGTCGCATTTCGGTATGTCGATTTTTCGTTGAATTATAATGTTTATAAAATCCAGCACGCGAGCGTCATTCAGAGAGAACGCTGTGCGTACTTTTTGCATGTTTTGTAATTTGACAGGTGCATTAATACATTATCAAAAAAACAAATGTAAAAACGTGTGATACACGCGCTTTGAAACATGATATGCTGCCATCGAGGGACACCGCGCCGACCGAGAGAGATTCTGCTTCTACATCATTACGGGTCGATATAATTGCTAATATCTTTGCACAGAAAAATTGTAGTGAGGTGATCTTGACGTTGTTGGAAAGCTAAGCTTCTAGCGCTCCAAACGAGTGTAACGCCACTTATCTTGGATGATTAGATTAGCGTCCACTAATTACGGAAATAAAATTGATTTCGCCACGAGACTTCCTCAAACATTTAAATCAAGATTATGAGCAGATATAATTGCCAATATCTTCATACAGAGAAATGACAATAGGATAATCTTGATCTTATTCGAAAACCAAAATTCTGATGTTTCCAATGAATATAAGATTGCTTATTTTAGCTGACATAGTTTGCGAGTTTATTATCGATAATAAAGAAATTAAAATCGATTTTGCTATACAATCTTCATCGTTTAAAACAGAAGAGTGTATCTCTTTTAATTTATATTACTATTATTTTATGTCAAATTTTTACAAGAAGATTTAAATTATGCGATTTCGAGTATTTATATTTATAACCCTATTTATAATTTAAAATTTAATAACATTTTTTTAGTTACATCATTGTTGCAAGAGTATTTGTGTTGTTTGCAAATTCATAGACTACGCAGGATCACGGTTCGTTGTTTCGTGATTTTATTAAACCTTCAAGAGGCTTAATCTATAAATCTCCCTTTTTCTCTGTATCTCTATTTTGCTTCCTATCTCTTCTCTTAGCTGAGATATAGATGAAGACAAATTTCCTCCGAAATAACTTCAACTAAATTCAAACCGACTCCGGTAGCGCGAGTGACTAATTTTCAGCGACGTAGATAATCGAGGATCGCGCACTAGTACCGTAAATAACAGCGAAGGCAAGAAGTCTAGAAGCGCAATTGCGCTCGGCCGTGATACTGCATATAAAACATGATGCTTCATCCATGAACACGATGAATTTCGAAGTTGTCCTGACCACTTATTCCCCGGGTCAAATTATCGTTCGCTCGGAGATCGTCAGACTTTGTTCCGCAATTGCCTATTCTCTTCCTCGAAAGTTTCTCACAAATGTCAACTTTCGTAAACAATTCTGCCGCTATTTGAACAAAATTTAACTCACGGTTTGCTAAAATTTTTGCTCTTCTGTGTATTCTGGTTTAATTTTTAACTGTTATTACTCTTTTACTTTTATTAGTCCGGTTTTTTTTTATTTTTCTTTTTATTGTGGCCATATTACATTTTTATATATTTATATTGATATATTTGCGAAAACAAATCCTATTATGTCTGGTATGTTTTGTGAAATTATAATCGAGACCGATAGCTTTGTATATATTTTCATTTTATCTTGATCTATGGCGCGTTCTACGTCATAAAAAATTACTATTCTCTGATGAAATAGTGTATACTCGGACGATCGTGTAATAGTACACTCTCTACGATCTCTATGAAGCTCGCGCTTCATGGGCAGGTTATCGACGACCGAAGTGGTTGCGACCGATAACACACAGACCGAGATATCGAAGCGCCCGCGCGAAAACCGGCATGTAATAAATGCTCCACACGCGCACAAACTATTTCACTGTCAATTACCAGCTGATGGATCACAACCCTGTCTCGATTCACTGAGACGAATCGATGTATTACATACCTACGTATCCCATCCTGAAAAGTCGACTACATTCCGGGTCGATCGACGCCTGGAAACGCGAGGAAAGAGAGAAAGGGATAGGAGAGGGTGGAAAATGTCAGTAAAGTGTCGCTGTCCAACGGAAAATGCGAGAAAGTGGTATTCTTCCATCTGGAACGGACAGCTTGGACATACATACGTATCTACATACACATATATGTATATATACATATATAAAAGAAGGACGAATACGCGCGCGCGCGTAAATGGTCCACGGATGACGAGGGCTGCTGCGGGTGCCATCGTAGAAGAACGACAGAAACATCAGAGAGAATTGGCCAAGAGGCTGGAAATGTAGAAATACCATATATATTCATTCGCCGAAAGCATTCCATATAACTTTCACGATCATCAAGGGAAGAATGCTTGTAACAGGCAGTTTTACTCGCATATACAAGGTGTCCTATTTACGTAAATATTTGTTGATTAATGTTTCGAGTCGATCTTTCTTTAGCGCAAATTTGATTGACCATTTAATATATCATGTTGAAACGATCAATCATCTCTGTATGTATTAAAAAAGCTTGAAATTTTATGAAAGTTTTTTTAAAATTAAATAAAACTCCAATTTTAATTTGCATTTCAGAAATATTATTCTTGAGGGACGTTATTGTATTTTAATCGTTTATAATTTTAAAATAATTGATAGATTTAATTTTAATCGAAAGAAATAAATTAGTCGAAGAATTTGCAAATGAAAACTGGATGCGACGAATCTAGAACACTCCGTATATATATCAGCTGGCTTCCTTCTCTACAATTTCGTTCCATTAATGCGTCAAACCCCTTTAATGCTTTATTGACGGAAGTCGCAGCTTTTTGTCGCGCGTAACACAATTTCCGACGCTACGACAGAGTTAATAATCACAGGCTTTTCAACGGATCTCTCAACGCTGCCAAATTATTTCTGCCGTTCGTCACTTTAAGAGGACGATTAATTGAACATACGAAACTTGTGTGTTCCATTGGATCGGATAAGTTTTAAGGATGTAATATCACAACTTAAAGCATTTTTTTTTTTTACCAAAAATGTAAAAATTACAAAGGTTCTATTATTACGTTGAATATCTGCAACATAAAATTTAAGTACAATTTTCTGATTGATTTAAAAGTTATTTAATTTTTAATTTGCTTTGATTTTTAAGTAAAATTGCATTTTGTAATATTTATTTACAAATTTGATGAATAACATTGTACAAATTAAATCAAATTATATATATATATATCAAAAAACAACCAAACTCAAGGCTAATGAGAGTCAGCGCGGAAGTGTGCAATAAATCTCACATGAGTAATTTTATTAATCCATCCGATGTGATGACCTCATCTTTATTCAAAATCTTGAAAATTTGTACGTTTCGATTCTCTTTTGAATCTTCATCTGCAAACTTCTTAAACAATATTAGATTTTGCGAACGTTCAATGTACAGTCACTCGCAGGTTGCCAAAACTGAAGTGTTATCTATTTAAAATTCTTATATATAAGATATTGAAAAAACAATTAATGTAAACAAGTAACTCACCCACACGATCGCCAAATCTTGTCATGAAACCTTGGATAATGTCTTTATTTTCACGATTGAATACATTCTGTAATATATTTTATATACTTTATTTAAACTCCGTCCAATCCATCTGGAGCGACGAATGTGTCTGACAAAACTTTATTAACGAAGGTCGGAACGACGGCAACAATAAGTCATAATAAAAATTAATTATCTAGACAGTAAATACTTATTACGTTGCTGATCTTAACATATATGATCTGCCTAACATATTTAACATCTATCATGTCATGTCATGGATATAATACATATAAGAACAGAAAATTATTACAAAAGTTTAAAACATAATTCAACACCAGAATTAAAGCGTCAAAAGCGTAGATCTAAAATATACAGTCAAGATTTAAAACATGTCATTTTAACCTTATGCTTAAAACTATGTAGCATAACAATCAATCCATTATAAAATTTTACACATATAATTATATTCAGAAACTGATAAAAATAATATACAATTTCAACATATTTGTATATATAAAAGTCTAATAAATATTCGTGCAAAAGTTCATTAGAATACATTTGCTCGTTTAAATGTTATTTACTTAAAACTACAGCAAAATATGATAACTGCACTTTATAAACCCGTAAATAATTTCTTATTTTGTTTTTGCAGTTGCTTTCAGGACGTATTTACGACAAAATTTTGAGATATATTGAATGATATTGGCTGATACTTTTAGTTGTATAACCAAAACATCCTTAATGCGATTTTCGACGTTTAATTCACGAAACGTTAAACGAAAATATTCCAGAATTTTAATAACGTTCAGAAATTCGTACATTTAAAGCAGGTACAAAAATACTTTTACGGCTACTCTGCAAAAATATCGGTAGACTTTATTATTCATGTTCTTTCAACAAAATAAAGTTTCAAATGTACGCGTGTGTAAACCGTTATTTAAATTTTTTATCTTATAATTTAATAGACTACATTATTTTCTTCTTCTCTTTATTATTTTTAGAAGCTTGTCAGGAATGAAACAAATTTAATATACTCTCATCCTTATTTAACAGCAATCCCCTTATTTGTCCCCTGCGTTTTCTCCTCTGAAAAAAAGAATACGTAATAACCACGCGACGCGCGTTTCAAAGAAAATTTTATGTACGCATCGCGCGTGTATGCGTTTATTGTTACCCTGAAACAAGGGATCTCCGCGTGTTGTAAATATATACTTGCGCGCAGACCGTAAAGGGAAAGACAAACCACAAAGAAAGTTAGCGCGAAGAGAGAGGGGAAGTAAGAAGGGGACGTTAGCTCGCCTTAGTTCGTTTTATGAATCTCCCTTCGAGCATCTTTAAAGTAACTATCCGCTATCGCGACCACAGTTTTATCCCTTTTTTCCCCGAGTTTCCTCCGCTCGCTTTTCTAAGAGCGATAACCGTGTCAAAGGATATTTAAAAGTCGTAACGACAATTCGAAAGAAAGTTTTCCCTTAGAATCGCCTAACAAAAGGGACCATCGGCTGAAGCGCGATCTTTTTAACAATATTTAATGGTTGCGGTCAATTCGATGACACAAAAGTGTCTGTGCCTTAAAAGACTCTGTATTGCCGGTGTGATGGGTTATAAACCAATCGATTCTCTCGGTCCATTTATCGTCGACCGTATGAAGCAATGCTTTTTGCTTTGCGTCGAGATCGAAAGCGCGTCCAGCGGTTAGGAAGTGCTTCTCATTCGCGAATTCTTGATCGGAGTGGTTGCGGAATTCGCAAGCGTGATGCAGCGAACATCGCGATGCGGCAGCATCCCATTGCATCTCAACCGTGCGCACGTATGCACGCTCTCGAACATGCACGCCGCATAATCGAAATGCGCTGTTCGTGGCCCTCTCCTCGGTTTATCCCTTCCTCCTTCCTTCTCCCTCTTTTGTCTATACTCTGCTCTCTGTCTCTCTCTCTCTCTCTCTTTCTCTTCTGTTCCCTCGGAGCAAACGAGCATCCTTAATAATGCGCAAGACCGATTCTACTTCGGATCAAAGGATCCCATCTACGTTCGATCGCCGCCAAGTTAAGCGGCTCAAGATGGATATGGAAATTCCGATGGGAGGCCGATTTAATGGATCACCCTATATTATTCTGCGAATTCCTGGCGCGTATCCTTGTCTGACGGTACACGATCTCATCATCTATCCGTTCTGAGAAGACTTCAATTAAACGTAGAACGCTTCCGAGATCGATTCCGAGCGATCGTTATCGAGATTAATATTAGTCGATTAATATCGGTTGCCAACAGGATCAGCTGCAGCTTGAATATAATATTGGAATATTTTTATAAATATATTATACTTTAAATAATATACGATACGATAAAATAGAATGAGATATGAGAAGATTATTTTATGTAAACGGCGAATTTTTTAATTATGTTGAAAACTTGAACGGAATTTTGAAAAGTAAAATACATTCTTCAATTTTGTCAGCTATATTATTTCTAAATTGGAAACAAAATTTGTTCAGTGCTCAAAAGCCGATAAAGTTAGAATTTTCATTAATTTGCATTTCAATTACGTTGATATACTTTTAAAGGAGACGAGCGCGACGGTCAAAGGGCGCGTGATTAAATTAGCTTTTCGAATGCGAGATTGGAAATTCCATTGGGCCACTTGGGTTAATTGTACGGACGCGTTCATCCAATTTCTAATTCAATATACAACGACCGTGTCCTCGCGTTCTCCTCATCGGCACGTACACATTATATTTCGATGAATCGGAATTGCGCGAATCCTCGTTGAGATCGCATTCGTGTTAATTTTTTAATTGTATGACAATTGAATAATCGATTATTAAAACTTGTTTCATCTTGCAGCAGAATATGCAAACTGAATCTATGTTTCTTGTACAGGTTTTGTAATTTCATTTTCGAAAGTTAAACTTCGCAAATCGCAAATTCGTACAATGAAATGTGATTTAATGTTAATTTAAATTTAATTTACACAATGTCGTCAGCACATTTAATATTATACATACACGTGCAATATATACGTATAATACGTATAACGAATTCTAAATCGTAAATATTATATTACATTCCGAGTATCGTATTTCTGTTGTACCGCAGAGATTTTAATCAAATATTATATGTATTACATTTCGTCGCATTGTACGTTGTACATATATATATGTTTTTATGTGGACTCTAGGTGACGGTGGATCTAGGGAAGGACGCGGAATTTCAGTGCTCCGTCACCGGTCAGCCACATCCGGTGATCTCGTGGGCGAAGGACGGTCTTCCTGTGCGGGAGGGTTCGTCGGGTAGGAGCAAAGTCACGGGTAATGACGGCTCGACCTTGCGTATCTCTTCCATCGTGAGAGACGACAAAGGAATGTATCAGTGCTTCGCCAAAAACGATTACGAGATGGTGCAAGCCACAGCCGAATTACGTTTAGGAGGTAAATTCGATTCACCATTCCGTCCTCATGTCTTTCGATTGTCGTGTAATAATCAAAATCAGTACAGTCCTTCATTAGATTGTGACTTACATCGAACACATAGCATCATAAAAAATATGGATTACACTTAATATATATTAAGATACCGCAATAAATTAAATTAACATTAGTTGCAAGGCAAAGTATGGTAGATACTAACATATGATACAATTTTTACTAAGTAAAACTTATAAACTTTAAATATTGTTATAATAATATTATTATAATAATTTGCTAATTATATTATTTCCTAGATATCTTGATTATACACTCTCTAAATCTCAGGGAGTGAAATCTCACTCGAAGAGACTAAAAATTTAGCCTGTCTTAAAAATAAGAGTGAAAACACGGTCACTCTTGTTCAAGATTTTCGCTCTTTTTAAAGTGAAATTTACTCTTTTGGAATGAGATTCACTCCGAAGGAATGAAATCTCAATCCCTTTTTTTGGAGTAAGGTTCCATCTACCCTGGTATTATAAAAAGGGATTGAGATTTCACTCCTTTGGAGTGAATCTCATTTCAAAAAAGTAAATCTCATTCTAAAAAAAAGTAAAAAATCTGCCACTTAACAAGATATTTATTATGTATGTAATATTTATTACAGGGTGAGGAAAAAGTACCGGGACACCTAAATAACTTCTGAATGGTTCGAGATAGAGGATTGAAGTTTATAGGGATGCAAATGGCATCATAAAATCTATCATTTAATACCAAAAACGCCCATTTTAACACCCCCGGGGGGGGGGGAGGGAATAAGAGGGACGGAAAAATCTTAAATTGCACGTGGGATCGAGTGAGGGCTCGTTTGAAAGGACCTTTCAAGACGGGAACAACGCGTGGTGTCCCACACAGAAAAAAAAACTATTCTTAAATCAACCATAATATATTCATATATAAGCAAAAATATTATAATCTTGCTTCAAAGATATTAATCTTGACTTGATTAAATTTGTTTTGATGCAAGTATTACTTTGCACTTAATTCAAGACTTGCTCAATTAAAAATCTTATATCAATACAAATAAATATTATATCAAGACTAAAATTTTTAAAGCAAGATTACAATATTTTTGCTTATATATGAATATATTATGGTTGATTTAAGAATAGTCTTTTTTTCTGTGCAGGTTTCTGCGATTTTTTTCGCAGAGTTATGATTATTTAAACATTGAGATTTCGCAGTAAAGGAGGGCTCACGGCAAGGATGTGTGAAAGACTTTGCGCAGGCACATGTGGATAAAAGTGTATGTGGAAAGAAATGTATGTGTGCGTGCGTGCGTGCGTACAACACACATTTGCACGCACACACACAGCAGAAGGGATTTGGAGTTGTTAACTACTGTGGAAGTGACGAACTACGGGTTCTGTCTCCCCTGTGAGATACATTTGCACGCACACGCACGTGCGCGCACGCGCACACACACACACACACACACCATATTCCTTCCCATATGCACTTTTATCCACACGTGCCCGTGCAAAGTCTTTCTCACGTTCTCGCCGTGAGCCCTCCGCTACTGCGAAATCTCAATGTTTAAAAGATTATAACTCTGCGAAAAAAAATCGCAGAGACCTGGAACGCCACGCGTTGTTCTCGTTTTGGAAGGCCCTTTTAAACAAGCCCTCACTCGACCACACGTGCAACTTAAGATTTTTCCGTCCCCCTTGCCCCCATCCCTCCCGGGGGTGTTAAAATGGGCGTTTTTGGTATTAAAAATGATAGATTTTATAATACCATTTGCATCCCTATAAACTTCAATCCTCTATCTCGAACCGTTCAGAAGTTATTTAGGTGTCCCGGTACTTTTTCCTCACCCTGTATATAAGTATCATATACAAGATATTTATTATATATCAGTATTTTCATTCTTTTTTCAAGATCTCTTCGAATGAGATTTCACTTCACGAGATTTAGAGAGTACATAGATGCGATTCAATTGTTTACATTTTTCTTTCAATAATCTTCTAATCTCTGCTTTCTGTTTGAAATATGGAAAATTCTCGAGATATTGTTGGCGCGATATTATAACGGGTGTATTTAAAATATTACACGTGAGAGAGTCGGGATGGATTAGTGTGAATGCGAGCGAATTACCGCACAACTTTGCCAAAGTTTTATGAAAGTTCTCTCCAGGAAATAATAAGACTAAATTAAGGCTATTAACGGGACACTATTAACCGACGATGGAAGACTCTATTGCTAAAGTTTTGTCTCCTTTCTTCTTCTTTTTGCAACCTTTTGCAGCTTCTATTGCCTGCTCTGTAAAATATAGCTTCGTTGAATACATAGATGCTCGGAAGCCCGTCTTATTACGCTGCTAAATGGCGACGTATTTTTAATTATGCACTACGTTCATTCATGGCGCACCGAGCTATTATATTTAATTACGTGTAAATATGATGAGGAGCATGGAAAGAAACAATTAGTCCATTTATGTTAAAGTAGTCGCAGCTAAACAAATTATTAATTAAAGTTTCTTTTACTTTTTTATGCCATTTAATAATTATTACGCGTGCGCGAAAGAATATTATTTTTTTTTTTAATTAGAAAAATCTCATAAATTAAATCCCGAAACTGCCGTCCAAGTTGATACCTACAGAAGTAGTTAGAGGCAGGGATTTTCGAGAGATGTATATCGTCTCTTACTCCGTTTCGTTGTTAGAGCAAAGTTCTCAATAGGTGCAATTGCCACAGCGAGTCAATTGTTCCGAAGGTTCAAATGTTCTTGTGAATCGACGTATTGTACCGGTACATTCACATACAGATCAACGAAGGAAAATAAGGCTGCGAACTAGGAGAACCCAGCCATAGCCAGAGATTGACGGGGTGAACGAAGAAACGCGGTTGGGCGAACTCCAGGACAAAAAGGGGAATGAAAGGGAAAGAAAAAGCGGAGAAATGCTTAACGAGGACGATGCATAATGGAGAAAGGAGAAATCCACTAGCCAACGTGCCGCGAAATAAATACGTGCCATTTGTCTTAGTCAGAGGGTTGGTCGGTCAGAGAAAGAATGGAAAGAGGATGGTTGGCGAAAAGAGGAGTATCGCGTGCGAACGAAGACGCGCGAGCAGAGACGAATGGCGACTGGACGAATATTCCGTCGTCGTCGCCGTCGTCGTTGTCGGCTTTAAAACGGCTAAGACGACGAACGGCGTTTTCGCGCGACATAATCCATTACCTTAAACGACCGCTGTCGCTTTCTCAACCGTCTTAAGATGCCTGCGTACACGAAGCGAGCGAGAACGAATGTGAGCTCTTGGATCTTCACATTAGTTCCTGCCGTCTCTGACTCGTTTGGATTAAAAGGATTATAAATGAAGACATTTGATAAAAAGCCGATTGTGGATATTTAGAGGAAGTGTAGAATCAAGAATTTGTGGCATATTTAAAAATGTAAAAGAATTACCCCCGACAATTCTCGAAGATCTTTTATCTTGCACTCGAAACTTTTTATGTATTATTACTTAAATTTTAAAAGAGGTGAGAAAGAAGTCTCAAAACTTCTTCAACGAATTGTAAATTTTTTATTTTAAGTGGATATTTTACTTTTACATAGTCTAGACAAAGGATTTTTAAGGGATATCATATATTAACGTGCCGTTTCTTCAATTTCCTTCATGATTTTTTAACGCCCAATAGGTAGCACATTAACGAACAATCCGTCCAAATCAGACCGTTTTTATATTTGTATTCAATAAATTATAGATAGAATATTATATATGTATTATACACACACACACACATGTATATATATATATATATATATATATACACACACGCGCGCGCACACGCACACACAATATTCGGAAACAGAATTCCTGAAATATTTCACACTTTTCAAAAATGGAACATATGAAAATTCCACTGATCGTTTTTATCGCAATTAAACGATATCCCGGTGAAAAAGTTGCCGGCAGCATTCGAAAAGTGGGACGCAGCGCAATGAAACGACGGGATCGTGCTTTAAATCGCCAGCAGCAGCAGCAGAACGCAGCCACCCAGAATTTTTCGAGTTTTTCCTTTTTCCCGCAAAAAGAGCGAAAATAATTTATTTCAGATGTGATATGAATTCGTGAGTCGCGACTTTCGCGCGATATATTTATTCGAAAATGCCGCATCTAGGCCGGAATTCATATAAGCATTTAGGCCGGAATTAGACTACGGCGTTGAAGATTGAGATAGAAATTTAACCAATCAAAACGATAGGAGCTAAAATTCCTTTGTCCTCATTGGTCAAATTTCAATCTTCGATCTACAATCTCAATCTTCAATGCATCATCTGATTCCGGCCTTATTCGAGTTGCGAAACACGCGATTTTCTCGCGTCTTGTTCGTTTCGCGAAAACCGTCGTTGTCACGCGATAAATGCCTTTCTGCACAATTTGCGAATTTAATACGATTTGCCAACGTAGCATGCGTCATCGTCATCACTGTCGTCATCGCGACGTGAAATACGGAATAATTGGACGATCTGGTAATCCTCTTACGTAACAAAAGGAGAGAATCAAAGAGGCGAGGTTCCATAACGATCGTAAACCGCGCATAGAACTGCGAGGTCTGAGGAGAATAGGAAAAACAAGTTTCGCGAAAGCGAAGGAATTCTTGGTATTTTTATGATTTTCGTTCGATCGAACAAAGGAATCACGATGGAACGCGTCGACAAAACTATGTGGGAAACTACTGATTCGCGACGAAATAGGCATTGTTGAACGCGAGCCAAATGAGAATCGTAATCGAATCAGCATCGCCGCTAAGAGAGCGGAAGCTCTTTCCGACTTCTCTTCGCGATTGTAATTTCTAACGATCGATCTCGTACGATATTTAAACGCGGAATGCGCGTTTACGTTTATAAATTATAGAAATTATGTTATATCATTTCATTTTTTACTATTTAAAAAAAAATCTTGAATAAGGGTACATCCTAAAAATGAAAGGCGAAGATAAATCGTTGGCATTTTTCCAGCTTTGGTAGAATATTTAATTGAAATTTATTATACGAATTTGGACGGCGTTCAGAATAAATCTAATTAAATAAGAGAAATCCTATATTCGGTCAAAGCAGATCTTAATGCTTAAATATTTCAATGTGAATTTATATACATATCTCATTTTCTGCAAACTGCGCACCGAAGTCTTTTTCGGTCTTGAAACGCAATCATGTGCAGAACTAAAGTAGTAATATCACTTATTAAATTGACAAACAATTAAATAATACAGTTTGGAATCTACAGACATATATAAATTCACACAGAAATATTTAAACACTAAGATCCTCTTTGACTAAATATAGGTTTTCTCTTATTTAATTTTGTATCGAATCGAACCTTCTCCGTCCTTTATCACCTCCTGTGCTTTAATCGGTACCAACCGCTGTACCATTGGATTAACGATAAAATCGCGCGACGAAGCGGGACAGCCCGTAAAAGGTCAGAAACTTCGGGGCGCTTTTAGTGTCTCTTAAAAGAAACTAATAATAATAATGAAGAATATCTCGTAGTTGCTCCAAGGCGCGCCATCGCCTTTCCCGCAGCGTTGCGGCGCGTCGACAATCTGGGTTAATTAATTCCACTTAACGATTTTCCGTCTCTTTCTTGATTGCGGGTGGCTGGCGCAGAGGTGGAGGCTTTAAATCGCGGTTAGTACTAAGCGACGTTAATAACGAATGTAATAGAGTTCCAGGTTAAGTTGCGCACCGATAGTCGGGATTAATCCTGGATTTTATATGTGTTTTATATATGTATATATATATAATGTACATATGTATATACATATATAGCGATTATCTACGTCTTGCTAGATTAGAGAAACAGAGTATCTTGTTGTACATACATACAAAATACTTGCATTACTGGACAATCCCCAAATCTACACTTATCTGCGATCTGCAGTACGGATAACATATATTTTATTGCAACTTTAGATGTAAATCAAAACGATTCCTAACTTATTATTTTAATTGTGATTTTGTTAATTCGAATTTTTATCAGTTGAAAGTTTTCTTTGTTACTAATTAGTTTTATAATTAATTCATTTCACGGCTGTAACAAATTCCAGATTTATAAGAAACTTAATCTTTTTTCAATGTTATTTGCAATTGTCTATCACTGGAGCCTCGCGATATCCGATCGGCAGTATTTTAATAATACTTTCGCCGCTCTTTACGCGCTCGTGAATTTCACGATAACACGATATTAAACACGAGATCGGGACAGTCACGCGGAGCGTTAAATTATTTTCCGACTCCGATTCTGGCAAACTTCCATTTTGTTGACGGCGCGCCATCGAATCGATGCAGTCGGGGTAAATAACGAGGCGAGGCGGAATCATCGGTCTCAATGAATTGCAGACAGTACGCGCTGTTTGCATGCATTAATGACACAAAGCCCGGACGTGTAATAGCCCGGCTGGAGTAATCGCCCGCGACAAAGTCGCGCGAACGATGTCGATGGCGGAATCACCGTTGTCGCGTTGCACTGCAAATCTGTCAAGGATTATACCAATCCGCCGTGCATGAAAGCGATACACACGATCGACGTATAACTCGCCAAAATTAATGGAAACGTTTCACGTGTATCGACAGCACGGAGATACGAGAAGCATGTTGCTGTTGCACCGAGAAAAATGGAAGCGGCAGGAATGATGTAGCACTTCGACACAAGCTTAATTTCAATGACAGGCTCTTTGACCAGTTCGAAGTTGATTAGCCTTTAATGAAAATGTCAGGGCTCTTTTAATAGTTCTCGAGTTATAAACGAGCGAAAATGAAGAGCTTTCCAGAAATAGGTCGTGTCTTTGCTGGATGGAACTAGGTCTGAAAATTAAGTCAGAAGGGCAATAATTATCGTTACATGTATTAATTATGTACTTAACTTTGTGTCATCTTACGCTACTATATATGTTCAGTCTTATTTATAATTAATTAATGGGACGGAAATGTATTTGGAATAGAAAGACATGTCAAACTGTCACGTGGAGAAATTGAGCTGTGACACGTGTCTCAAATTTCAAAGTTGCATAAGCTTACATCTTACGTTCATCACATCGGAAAATGTAACCATCTGCAAATCATGTAGAAATTTGAAAATCCAGACGATTGTTCTATCTTAAATTATTCGATAGACGGTAAATGGAAGAGATTAGCTTCCCCTCCCTAAAAAAAAGATTACCGATAATGGAAACTAGAGATACTTAAGTAAGAGATTGGATACTTTTGGTCCGCCATATTTTTCAAGACCTGCTTAAGATAAAATGAATATCCACGCATCTCATTCTTATGCATTTATCTCAAGCACATTCCAAAAAATATATACGGTTCAATCAAGAAGTTATCTAAAGATGTCCAATCTTTTAAGCCTGCAGCACACGATGCTGGTTTTCCTGCTGTATTGCTTGCGTTTTGATAAATTACTAGAAATTCTCATTTTGCGTGGGGTAATTCTTATAGTAATTCACTAAAAAAAAAACGCAATCCAGCAGGAAAACAAGTATTACGTGTCACAGGCTTTACTCGAGGATCTCCAATGAAGACTTACTGGCTAAGGAACCCCATGTTTTGTGGCAAATGAAAATGTCGTCGACAACACAAGTGATGCGAGGTTCACGGGCACTGGAACGTTGGGCCCGCGAATAGCGGGGCGTGGCACGCGATGCGAACAGAAGGGGATATTCTGATTTACGCCACGGGGGCAAACAGCCTACCCGCCTCGAATCAACTCGACCCGGTCGCGCGCCACCCCGTTCGTCCTCGCGCACTCGGGGTTATTGTCGGCTCTATAATTTGGGGTTAATTCACCGGGCGGCACTCGAGTTCAGGCGTCAAACCACAGATCGATAGTTCCGCCCGCGCGCACCGTTGGGATTGTCATGTAAATGTTGCGTGCATAATACTCCCCTTCGTACCCTCCACCGCCGCCTTGCGGCAACCCAGGGCCATTTCCACGGCAATGATCGCCGCAGGCTGGCCTCCGCACTATCTCTCCTGCGTGCTGCGTGCTGCGTGCTGCGTGCTGCATGGCTATTTGAACGCGCGTATGCGCAGCGCTGAATGCACCTGATTCAGGCGGTACTCCAACATTCCGGCGGAAACTAACTCGCATTCTCCGCGATAGTCAGCTTGCAACGACTACCACAGACTAGTCCGAAAGATTCGCTGGTATTTATATATATATATATATATACTGTCGTAAAATCGCAATCTCCAACTTCAATTAATTAAATTGGACTTGGCTTTAAAATGAAATTAAATGTATTGTCGTCACTCTGTGAAATTACTTTTATACAATTTGTCCTGTTTGTGCTTGTACGATTTTTCTGGTTTATCTCGGTGTTGCATTTGTCTAGAGATACGGGTTTGTTTGGACGAGTAGTGGTTTGAAAAATTCTCTTTCTTTCTCACTTTGCACGACGACAATTTGAAGAAAATCCTCACTATCACACGGAGATTTTCCTTGGATATTCCCCATCGTTCGCGCGAGTAATGCGCGTATACGTAGGGTGGATTTAGACATATTGCGATGCACGCCACAACTTCAAAATTCCTATATCTGCAATTGGTTGCACAATCGATGTGGTTTACTTATGATAATATTGTTACGCAGTCCAGCGAGCGAAAATAAACATTCTTTCCGTTCTCAAGCCCTCCAGTTATTGTCGCAGGTTTCGATAGTTACTATGAAATTTTGTGTATAGGTATAATATAATACATATAAAACACTATGATTAAATTATGATTATTAAATTGTAATTTCAAAACGGAATGTATTTAATGACTCACTTTTTGGAAAGATTAATCAATAATTTTCAGAAATATCAACTAATAATAAAAGTATTCGAGCACTAATTTATCAAGCAAAATATCAATTTATCAAATAAGAACTCAAAATTTGTTAAATCTACATAATAATATCGTGTTCTAATAACAAGACAAAAATAAATAACTCAATTAAAGCGAAGGTAAATTTTGTTTAATATTTGAACAATGTTTAAAATTTCGATCATTTTCCGTACATTAGGTAATTAAAACTATAATTAAATTAGTCTTTATATTAAAGTATTTAGGCCCATATTTGTAGTTCTGTTTCTGCTGAAGAAACTCAACTAAAACTAGTTTTGTTTTGAAATATATTCTCTTTTCTCGCAATTCAGTAGAGTTTAAAAAATCTCCATTTTTCATCTATGTTTTTTTATTGAATATAACGATTGTTATTTTACAAATAAATTATTCTTCGACAACCGTGAATTTCTAGATGCTGCGCCCCAACTTCTTTACAAGTTCATCGAGCAGACGATGCAGCCGGGTCCTTCGGTGTCACTCAAGTGCATCGCGATGGGCAATCCTACGCCGCATTTCTCCTGGACACTCGATGGATTTCCTCTTCCGCAAAACGACAGGTAAAACAAACAGTTTTCCTTGCATACACGTCTCTTCGGAGGACCGGGAATCCCAAATCTCGATCTACTGCTCTTCACTCTTTTTCTTCCACCGGACGAAAAGTTTATGGCACTAAAAATCGACGAACGATATACACACGGGGAGGATTATTCGCGGTTATTAACCCCGAGGTATTACACGAGATCGTCGGGAAATCACTGTAAAAGCGGGGCTTCCATCCGGCGGAGGCGCGCGGATCTCGTGGGAGAGCCTCGATAGGCCCCTGCGGGCTTCGATTCTCTGAACCAATTGAGAGGAAAATTACCAATCACGCTGTTCAGTCTGGACGTTTTTAAAAGCCGGCCGGATTCCGAGCGATAGATTTAACAGGCGTTCACATAAGTCGAGGGTAACTGGCGACGAGGAGATGATAATTCCGCGTTTCCGCGGTTTGCCGACGAATGATTATCGCCGGCGGCGAGTGGCGATAAGAATAATCTTGTCGAGAAAGCGAGATCTTTACGATGAAAGTATCTTCTCGCAATGTAAGATCATCTGGCATAAGAAATATAAGATCTCTCATAGTTGATAAAAGAGTCTTAAAAATCAAACCGTACTAAGTCTAATGACTTAGTAAAAATTAATTGATTAATTTAATTTTAAAGTTTTGTTTTAAAGAATAATGACGAGCATTTATTCTAAAGATGATAAAGTTGAGTTTATCTTCACAAGCAACATTTTGATCACGTATCAAATTTCTTTGAACATCTATTTCTTGATATAGAAAAAAAATCTAAAAAACATTTTTATTTATTCCTGAAAATTTTTTTGAGATACAGTTTAGTGAACGACAAAAGAGAGATCTAAAAAATTAATTATTTCTGAAAATTCTTCCCAGACGTGTAGTTTAGCGAATGACAAAAAAGTCTTAGAGCGCAAGCCATCGACAATAGCCATCAAGCTCCACGCGAACGAACGAGGTCGGGTAGTTTTCTTGCCGGCGACGGAAAATCGCTGTCGGCGTTTGGCAGATAGGCTAGCGAAATCGATTTGCTTGCAGATTCATGATAGGCCAGTACGTGACGGTGCACGGCGACGTGATATCCCACGTGAACATAAGCGCCGTGCGGGTGGAGGACGGCGGTGAGTACAGGTGCTCGGCGGTGAATCGCGTCGCGAAGGCGCATCACGCAGCTCGGCTCAATATTTACGGGCTGCCTCATGTGCGAACGATGGGAAACTACGCTGCTGTGGCCGGCGAGACGACCGTCATCAAGTGTCCCGTCGCGGGCTTCCCAATCGCCAGCATCACTTGGGAGAAAGGTTTGCCGTTGTACCAATCACGGTTTTCCATCCGACCCGTTTCTATCTCAAGAAATCCGATGTCATGTTTTATTTTTTTTATTTATTTTTTTTTTAATATACGCTAGCTCGATTTATCGAAGTCCACACTGTGGACGATGGTTGCTCGTGTAAACATGACAATTTTACATACCGCGGTTATTCTTGCAGCTTTAATTTTTTTCAACGAAAAATATGATCTCTATATGAAGAGTTTTAAAAGCAATTACTTAATTACTGGCTGCGTTCAGCAGACTCAGCAGTTTTGCAACCGTTTTATGATTCGTCGCGCTGATTGGTTTATACTTTTAGTTTTAAAGGAATAGTCTAATCTGAGCGAAAAGAATCATAAAACGGTTGCAAAACTGTTGAGTCTGCTGAACGCAGCCATTTTTTCTTGATAAATACAGGGTAATTTTAGCAACTGTACTGATAAATGTTATTTAAATTAAGATATTAAAAAAAAGCAACAGAGGAAAATCTTTTGCTATCATATGATCTACTGACTACTGTTTGTGATTATATTATTTTAAACAATGCACCGATGTATTTACAAGACGTAACTGTATTTTTTTTAATGGAGTCATATACTTTTTTTATTAGCGTAAATCGATTCTTCTTATTATTCTGAAGGAATATCAGTTATTATACGAAAAGAACGGTTTTGCTGAAGTAAATCTAAATATTCAGCTAGATACAGATTTAAAAATAATTTTGTTTGTATCCTCAAAATAAATATGTAGAACGTTCAAATTGGTCGCTAGAATGTGAAAACTTTTGCAGTATTGCTATTATCATGCTTGAGTTCTACATTGTTATTTTGAAGAACCAAAAAAATTATTTTTAAATCTGTATCTAACTAAATTGTTAGATTTACTTCAATCAAATCATTCTTTTATAGAATCACTCTGTACCTATATTATGAATTGAAAACAATGAGAAATTAACAAAGGGCAAATGTGAGTAAATCAATAATAACTACACGGTTAAAGGTGCGCTATAAAATGTTTTAATAATATGTAAGACAATTATACTTCCTAACTAAGTTCCGGACGCTTCGACTGACTTCCAGTCATCTTCAGTGATTCGAAGCAAATAACATACAGAACACATTAAATCAACCCGATAGAAAATAGCAACGCAATTCAAGGTTATACTCCTCCAACATGAATTGAGACGAGTGGCTTCACACGAGTGTTGTCGGCCAGAGGAGCGTCAGGAAGAATGTAACGTTCATTAAATTGCGTTGCTATTTTAATATATTCTGTGTGTTATTTGTTTTGAATCGCTAAAGATGACTGGAAGTCAGTTGAAATCACTGTTAAATGTACATTGTCAAATTCAAACCAATTTGAGTTATTTTCCAGACAACACATGATATCATGCTAACATTCAATATTCATACTGAATGTACTGTGATTATAACGAATAAACCAGAAACGTTAATGTGACATCTCAGAAAAATATTATTTCTTGTATATTGTCAAGATATATCAAATATAATAACTAAATTTCGATTTTGACGCTGAATATACTGCTATCATATCGATTATACCCAAGACGTCTCTAAATTATTCTTGCGATATATCTCGTGTATACGTCTGTCATATATTTTCAGAACAATCTCACAACATAAAATGCAGAACCAACGCTGCCTACTGCATTTAATTATATTACACTTATAACCCACAAAAGATCTTCCATTTTTTTTGGTTATCTTTTCTATAGTAATAGTTTGTTATTATAGAAATTATTTTTTGCAATTATATTCTACATTTATATTTGTGGCGCTAAAATTCGTAAATACAAGTGTCGGAACACGGGGCGGACATAGCGTTATCAGGGGTGTGTTCCAAAACTGAACTATATCATCTCTCTCTCTCTCTCTCTCTCTCTCTCTCTCTCTCTCTCTCTCTCTCTCTCTCTCTCTCTCTCTCTCTCTCCCCCCCGAGTATCTTTTATCCTTGTCAACATTCAGTGAACACAAGGATAAAATGATATTTGAGTTGACAAAAGTCGAGTTTTGGAACGCACCCCAGTGAGTGAGCCTTCTTTTCCCGCCTTTTCGGCCACATGCGTGTGCAGTGATGTCATGTCATCCAATGTCATCATGTCATGGCGGTCATGGTGTGAGTCTCGCGAGACCACTCGAGCGGGACGGACGTACGTCACGCCCACTTCGGGTATTGCATCATCTCACCTATTTTTTGAAAAACGTTTCCGGCTTCGATTGTGCATTGTGTTACATTATTTGTCTTGATTATATCATTATTTCGTCCCATTCACCGATTTGAGGTGACCGATGTATCATACTTTGGTTACACGATTTATTTACGATTCTGGCCGGAATCGTCGCCATTTTTATGGCGAGTGCCATCAATTTTGAAGAAGAAGAAGAAAGTGTCATGGTATGCAGGCGTGTGAACCACGAGATTAAGCACGAGCATAGTGAATCGAGCATGCTGAATAAATTATAAGTATTTGCACAATGCAGTTGCTACTATAAAATAGGAAGTATTTTTAAAGAATTTTTATTCTTTGAAAATATTTACTATTTTAAAGTAGCAACTGCACTGTGCAAAAACTTAATTCGTTCAGCATGCAAGCGTGTGCGCAAAATTTTATATATATGTATGTGTGTATGTATGTGTGTATGATGTGCATACATACATGACATACTAGAGACATCACTATGATAACGCGGATACTATAGAGATGTACTGGAGATGTATTGAAGACATACTCATACATCTCAGAATAACTACGATATATCACTAGGAGCTCCCTGCGAAGTCTACGGGATGAGAAACCGCGGACATAGTAGATTCTGAAGAAATACTCTGTACATCGCAGACACGTCTCGAATATCTTGACGACGTATTCAACATACGTTTGCGATATCGTTCTAACGTTGTCAGAACGTAGATGACTGTTTAGGTTTTAACTACTCCTTTAAGTCGCCACCGCTCCTACTAAAAAAAGGGTTAATTTAACTAAAACAATAGGGTTAAATAATTTAATTCAGAAATTGTATTAAATTTGACTCAAATTTAATTCATTTATTGACTAGATGCACATAGGTTAATATAACTCTGTGTCTTAGTAAAAAGTAACTCACTATTGTGTTTTAATTTACTAATATTTCTAATCTAACATGTGTCAAAAACTACTCAGATTTAGGTTAAATATTAAATATTCTTATCGTTATTGTGAGCACATACTGACAGTTAGCAGATTCTTCAAAACACTTGATTTTCCCTAGAATTGCAGCCTGTTTTATTTGATTCCTATATGCAAGCGTTTTACTTACATTAATGAAATTACCACAGGAAACTGCCATTCTCTTAAAACTAAAATGTCTACTTTCATTACGCATATTCCAGTATCTGATAGGAGGACCTAATTCTCTTATAACTCGGGGATAATGCACAAGAAAGTGTTGTTTCGGTGTTAAATGTCGTTCAGGAAAAATACATAAAAATAGTTTATGATGCTTGTGAATCATCTCTTGTAATAAGAACGTCTCACTTATTGAAATACGTGGGGCCATAACAATGTCGAGAATATTTAATATAAGAAAATATAATTGCCAATAAATATTATCTATTGGAATTTTGTCACCTATGAGTAAAGGCAATATTCTAATTAAGCACCACATTTGAGCTGCGCTTTGCCCCGTCGAATTACCAGGCTTACACAGTTGTTCTTTTGTTAATACAGTTGGTTTATTCTTAATGTCACAAAAACCATAATCGAAATTTTTCAAGCGAGCATTTAACAAAGACAAAGTAAAGAACTTGTCATTCACTATAAACTGTCTTAAAATAAGTCGCAATTCTAACGATCCCCAACCTTCAAATATATCATGCATACAATCAACTGTTAAGTTTTTAGTAACATGCCAATAACCTAGTACATTAAGGCAACAGCTGTTATTTATTCCAGAAACTATCTTAGTACCATTTAACACATCTGCTAGTTGTTCTTCGTAATTTTGTGGTGTCCTTGCAAATTTTGCAGAAGTTTCTATAGTACATGTCTTCATATCATGTTTTTATGTAAGGTACAAAATGTCTTCATATCATGTTTTTGTGTAAGGTACAACATCTACAACAATAATTATCAGTAAAACCTTCCACCAAACCGAACAATTTCTGAATTCCTAAGTTATCTCCAGTAAACTGCCATATAATAAATTTCAAATTATGTTCAGAATCATTTTCATAGACTGTTATGCCATCTGTTTTTAACTCTTCTAATTATCTAATAAGAGGCTGCAAAATTTGATTATAACCATATTTCTTCACGTCAACTTCATAATGTATATACTAAGAAAAATATTTTCGAGAGAAGACGCATGTGTGACAGGTAAATCCTTTACTGTAACATAAATAAGGCCAAGTTTATGAATTTCAGCTTTTGAATTTAAAGGATTTGTAACTTCAACATCATCTATGTAAAACTCTAATGCTATTACATTATCATCAGTGGATAAAATTTCATGATTTCTGTAATAAGTATCTTGTTGGATATTAATCAGTTCATTAATTTCATTCTTAGCTCTTTGTTTATATTGCTTTACAGTATTCAAAACGCCATCAGAAGAAACAAATTTTGTAAGCAATTCTTTTAATGGAATTTGTTGAAATGTTTCTTTCACTTGTACTAAACGCATCACACCTGACTTATCTACTTTCATAACATACTCCTAATTCAACTTCTACTATATAAGGGGCTATATAAGTTGACCAATTTTTTGCTAACTTCTCTAATTTTGATACAGTAGAATAAGGCTTAAAAACCTGTGACAAAATATCAAATTCCTGTAAAAAATGATCATGTTGTTCTGAAATGTTCTCAATAAATGTATCTTTAGTTCTTTGTTTTAAATAGAGGACGCAGTGTGATATAAAGTCCGACGTCTTCTCAATATTGTTTACTGCAGAAGTAACTGTAACATTTGGTTGTGCCAATAAATCAAT